GTGCCAATCAGCTGGCGTTCGCATATACTAAAATTTTCAAATTTTCGAGTCTACACTGATGTTTTCACGGGATGTAAATTTGTACGGTGACATAGAGAATGGCTGATTCTAGGTTGTCATAATTGTTCAGATAGAATTGTTTGAATGTCCCGTGTCTCCCCACGTTGCTATGCAGAGAAAAATTCCCTACTTTGGCCGCTAGAATAACTGCGTTGAAATTTGGTTTGCTGGTAGATTGCATGAATTTTAAAATTCTTCTCTCTTCATGCATTCTAACAGAACGAAGAGTAGACCGGAATTGTGCCACTTCGGTTACCTTCTAATCTTGATGGTAGTGCCTTGATATACGGGAAGGCTCAGTTCAGTGCGCGTAACTGTCATGATATCATTTCGTTTCAAAATAAACACATTGATTTTTTTAATCGAGTGATCACTCTGAATGTGACAGGTGTCGAGTATTACTCTGTCTCGGTTTGGTGACACAAAAAAAGGACAACTAACCCTGGTTCTAGAGGAGTAAATGTGTGTTATATATAAGCATTAACCGATAGAAAATTTAACGCGCAACACCCACGGGCCTCTTGTTTATAGTTGCCATATGATAACCTGCTGCTATCGTGCAAAGTGTCATCACTATAAAAATGGCATATCTTTTAGGCGCATGCAGTATTCGGCCCATTTTTATGGAAACAATGTGGTGCTAGCGTGTATTGTGGCTCGTATAATCAACTGATCTTTGCTAATGGTTACCGTCCCAAGGGATCCCCAGTGATCCGAATAACGTTAGTCAGGTATTATTGTAGATAGGATACAAAGCCACGAAGAATAAAGTTCAAGCGAATCCCGACTCACAGTTCACTAGGGGAAACTTCACTGGTTCGCGTTTAATTGAATCATCAGGCCAAGAAGGGAACGTTAAAATTTTCCTGATATTCTGAACCTCCGGTAGACGCAATTTTAATTTATTGAAGTGAATAGATAGGTCCAATGTTTGAAGCCAAGCGTTTTTTCTTCACATTGGGAACTTGTGCTGGTCCATGTTATTCACCCCCCAGCCACAACTACAGTCACTCAGTAAACGGCTCAAGAACCATTGACCTAAGAATCGGGGCTTGTCGTTGTAGTCCACAAACACAGACTTCGCAGAATAAAGTGACCGATAGTGACAAGAAGATCATAGTGAGCGGGAAATATGGTAGCTTACAAATGATACATCGGGGTCAAAAGCACTGCTCCGAAAACACACGTTCTGGCCATCATCTCATAGTTTTCTTATACCCAACCTCATTTCTGTGAACCGCCTTGGCGAGAAACGTTACAAACGGTGGCAATTTCAAGTAAGAAACAGGCGGTGATGCATATTCTTGCTTGTGTTCACCCCCTCTAGGGCAAACAGGATCTGAGCCATGAGGCGTCAGGAAGAATACCTTACTAATTCGGGGTGTGCACCTTTAGCAGTTTCGTATTTACGGGCTATGACAATACTAAGACATGTTTGTTTATTTAGTGGTCACACAAGAAACAGGAATTGGTGGAAATTCCCAATGCCAAATAAAGCGGTGAAAGCATAAACAATACAACATGTACATGACAGAGAGGCGGGTGACTGCTGTCATCGTTTTCTTTGTTAAGGTAGGACTGTCATATTCTTGAAACTTGGGGGCACGAAAACAGATAAACTCATGTTTCTAAATTAATTGAAGGATTTTTGGAATCAGCCAGGAAGAGCTCTGCCGAGTGGCACAGTAAATCACTGTGGTTTCCCAGAAGAAAACTTTCAAAATAGTCAAGATACTGTTCCTGGCGGCCACCTCTCTTTCGGTACACGCGTGGTCTGCCGTAAATCGAATATTGGGCGGCATTGAAACCTACATGAATTAAAGCGTTCCTCCATACTCAAGAACAAGTTTCAGAAAAAGGCCTCAGATATCTCAATAAAATGCGTTAACCGGATTTTCATGCCCACCCAAGATATTCTGGCGCTAATTAGATGACGCATCCCTCATGATACCATGAAGCAAACACGAGCAGTTTCATCATTATCATCATCATCATCAAAGACAGCAACATCAGTATTGCCACTGATGCATCAATGCCGTACAACCATAAGGTTTGTCTAGTTATATATATATATATGTATATATA